GTGTGCCTGAGATACAAAAAGCATATGTACCTGGCGTATGATATACATTTTATTTAATTGTGTCATTTTATTATTAGGTATAAGATGCACATAAAGAGTGTCACTTTTGGCTTCGCCGTGATGAGCCTGCGTCCCTGAGACGAGGTTGCTATTTATGTGCTTAGTGTATGTATGTATACTAGTATATTGTTATATTGTGATGTGTATTGTATCATATAAATAAAATAATAAGGCTGACATCACAAGCAAGAAACGATATGCCATTGACATGACATAACAATAGAATATATAGTAGCCCGTCGTTATGGAAATGTTACAGTGGTCGGCAGATTTCTGATAACATGTGGTCATTTTTATAATCATTCTATCCATTTTAGCTAAAATACCTAATACCCTCAAATCTGAAATAACACAATGTTGATCTACCAATCAGGAGGCCTGTGAAGATCCGTGTGAGAATATGCCTTCAGCAACCCATGCTTTCTGTAAGAGGCAATTATGCTTGTCGTAAGATGCGACAGACGGGATCGGGTGGTCAAGCTCGCTGACTTGGTTGATGCGTGTCATGGTAGCCCAATTTTGGAGATCGATGCTCATAATGTCAATCACTGGATTGTCTGGTCCAGACTCAATTATTTACAAACCGCCGTTATATTGCTGGAATATTGCTGAGTGCGGCGTTAAACAACAAACAAACAAAACGAAACCAATTGAGAGATAAGTGAGACACACATCGTACTGCATGTTTCCACGCACCTTTGTAGAAGATCAGCTGTATAATGTAAACCCAGCAATCGCAGGTAGGCTGTGGCTCAGGTAGATGATATGCAGATAACACGCATGATGACCGAGTTTCTGTCAAAAAATGTGTTAAGATCAAGGGCATACCTCAGCTCTTATGGTTGTATTTCATGCAAGGGTACACCTCTGGCCTGCCGTTTTGCTTACGTTCACGAGAAGGAATTAGCCTATTGGAGCGTCCCCTCTATAGTTATGGTTGTAAACGTGATGAGGGAGAGAGGGACATTTTCTTATAACACTTGGGATAAACATGTCGGTATGACGTCAACGTGGACATGGGATACTATTACAGGGGTATAGGAATGTGGAGGACATTGTATGGACGAGGTCGATGACGAGGATCATTGTGAGAGAGGGATATAGGGTAGGTGTGTGATGTCATTGTGTGAGAGGCATGTAGAGTAGATGTGTGAGGTCACTGTGAGAGAGGCATGTAGAGTAGATGTGTGATGTCATTTTGAGAGAGGGATATAGGGTAGATGTGTGAGGTCATTGTGAGAGAGGAATATAGGGTAGATGTGTGAGGTCATTGTGAGAGAGGCATGTAGAGTAGATGTGTGATGTCATTGTGAGAGAGGCATGTAGAGTAGATGTGTGATATCATTGTGAGAGAGGGATATAGGGTAGGTGTGTGAGGTCATTGTGAGAGAGGAATATAAGGTAGATGTGTGATGTCATTGTGAGAGAGGCATGTAGAGTAGATGTGTGATGTCATTTTGAGAGAGGGTTATAGGGTAGATGTGTGAGGTCATTGTGAGAGAGGCATGTAGAGTAGATGTGTGATGCCATTGTGAGAGAGGGATATAGGGTAGATGTGTGATGTCATTGTGAGAGAGGAATATAGGGTAGATGTGTGAGGTCATTGTGAGAGAGGCATGTAGAGTAGATGTGTGATGTCATTGTGAGAGAGGCATGTAGAGTAGATGTGTGATGTCATTGTGAGAGAGGGATAAAGGGTAGATGTGTGAGGTCATTGTGAGAGAGGCATGTAGAGTAGATGTGTGATGTCATTGTGAAAGAGGCATGTAGAGTAGATGTGTGATGTCATTGTGAGAGAGGCATGTAGAGTAGATGTGTGATGTCATTGTGAGAGAGGCATGTAGAGTAGATGTGTGATGTCATTGTGAGAGAGGGATATAGGGTAGATGTGTGATGTCATTGTGAGAGAGGCATGTAGAGTAGATGTGTGATGTCATTGTGAGAGAGGCATGTAGAGTAGATGTTTGATGTCATTGTGAGAGATGCATGTAGAGTAGATGTGTGATGTCATTGCGAGAGAGGCATGTAGAGTAGATGTGTGAGGTCATTGTGAGAGAGGCATGTAGAGTAGATGTGTGATGTCATTGTGAGAGAAACATGTAGAGTAGATGTGTGAGGTTATTGTGAGAGAGACATGTAGAGTAGATGTGTGAGGTCATTGTGAGAGAGGCCCGTAGAGTAGATGTGTGATGTCATTGTGAGAGAGACATGTAGAGTAGATGTGTGAGGTCATCGTGAGAGAGGCATGTAGAGTAGATGTGTGATGTCATTGTGAGAGAGGCATGTAGAGTAGATGTGTGATGTCATTGTGAGAGAGGCATGTAGAGTAGATGTGTGAGGTCATTGTGTGAGAGGCATGTAGAGTAGATGTGTGAGGTCATTGTGAGAGAGGCATGTAGAGTAGATGTGTGATGTCATTGTGTGAGAGGCATGTAGAGTAGATGTGTGAGGTCATTGTGTGAGAGGCATGTAGAGTAGATGTGTGATGTCATTGTGTGAGAGGCATGTAGAGTAGATGTGTGATGTCATTGTGTGAGAGGCATGTAGAGTAGATGTGTGAGGTCATTGTGTGAGAGGCATGTAGAGTAGATGTTTGATGTCATTGTGTGAGAGGCATGTAGAGTAGATGTGTGAGGTCATTGTGAGAGAGGCATGTAGAGTAGATGTGTGAGGTCATTGTGTGAGAGGCATGTAGAGTAGATGTGTGAGGTCATTGTGTGAGAGGCATGTAGAGTAGATATGTGAGGTCATTGTGTGAGAGGCATGTAGAGTAGATGTGTGAGGTCATTGTGAGAGAGGCATGTAGAGTAGATGTGTGAGGTCATTGTGAGAGAGGCATGTAGAGTAGATGTGTGAGGTCATTGTGTGAGAGGCATGTAGAGTAGATGTGTGAGTCATTGTGAGAGAGGCATGTAGAGTAGATGTGTGAGGTCATTCCGAGAGAGGAAATTGAGGGAGACGAAGGAGGTCACTTTGAGAGAAGAGCATTGGCGTTAAGTGGGATCTCTTTGTGAGAAGGTCACTAGTCAGAGAAGGAGAATACCCCAGGAGCAATCTTGAGGTCTGTCAGTATAAAACTTTGGCCTACATCAACCAAATTGTTGATAAGTGAGTGAGAATGACGTCGTTGTAGTTATGTTCCAGCAACATCACGACAATGAACACCAGAAATGGGCTTCACACATTGAACCGATATGGTGAATCGAACCTAGGCCTTCAACGTGACAACTTGATTAAGTCGGACCGGCTGTTTGGTCCTCACGTCCTGTATACCACAGATGGGGTTTTCTCTAGGACGTCTGAACTGAATGCGAGACAATCTGGCCATTGTCACAAAGATATACACAAATAGCCCAATGTGACACTGGATATGCGCCGTGTAGCTCGGAATGTGTCCTTGTACATAAGTTCAACCTATATTTAGGATAGGGCGACGGAATAAACACACACGGTGCGAGTGATCGAGACATGGGTATAAGATGATTGGGAAGAAATAGGGCAGCAAATTGTAAATATGTGGTTGAACAGACGAAAAAGCGAAAGTTTTTGGGAATTTGAGGTTTTATAATTCACCGTGTTCAAAGATAGAAAGAAATAGTTAATAAACTGTCAAACGATCAACATGTTTAATAACAGTTCCACGTGTTACCACAGCTTACCATTGTCATTCTACATCATTGACTAATTGGTCTTCAGCAACCCATGCTCGCCGCAAGTGTCGACTAACGGGATCGGGTGGTCAGGCACGGTGAATTGTCATCGTATCCCAATTGCGTTGATCGAATATTGCTGAGTATAAGGTTAAACAACAAACAAACAAACATTGTTGACGAATACATGTGCTAAATATTTCAGCTTGCAGCTTTTCGAAAAGGTCCTTAATACAGAAGATACTTCTTCTCTGTGTATAATTGCAATGCTATACTACTAATAATAATACTAACAACTGCGAGTTAGAATTTTCTTTTAGTTCAGTTTGTGAGATAAGACAAATTGTATTGACAATCGTGCTCCAGTGTATAATGTCAAGGGCAACTTCAATGGCCTTGACATCACTGTACTGGTGTGCTTGGCGTAAATAAGGTTAGAAAAAAGACCTTCGGAATGTTTTCTTTAGTCGTATTAGTGTTTTCTGGAAAGAACAGACTATATCGATGTCTGATGACTGGACCAGGCACGTTGTTTACGAGCAGCGTAGCTTACGACTAGCAGAATGCCAAGGCCCTATGTACTTATGTGGTATTAGGCGAATAATCGTTATGTCTGGTGGTCACAATGTGTGAGCTGGTTTGCATGGACCAGGTCCGATCATCTGCGGGCCCGTCATGTAACTGTAATATTGCTGTATACAGCGGACATTAAAGATATACTCATGGTGCCCGATAACGACCAGCTCGCCAAAGGACTGTTATGTAACGGTACTTCTGAGATGCCTACAATGGTTTCCCATTCAGAAGATCAATTTTCAAGTTGTCTTTTTATATCTGTGTGTAAATGACACAGCTTCTGTGTGATCTGGTGAAGGAATGTCGCTCTGCACGTTTCCCGAGAACGACAACCTGTTATTCCGAATTCAAAATTGAAATCCTTTGGATATAGAGCAGTTACTCAACTAGCAAATGAGGCCTGGATGTTCCGCCTGTTGATCTCAAGTCTGTCTCTTCCTTACAAACATTTAAACGTCATCTTAAAACATATCTGTTCTGATTCTACACATCGTCGCGTCAATTCTACTTTCTTTAATCTGTCGGGTATTCACACAGAGCGAATCCTGATTTGATACACTTCATGGCTTCCAAGCACGCCATTAATGATTTAGGGCACACGTGCGAAAAATGATGTTAAAATCCACTTACTCCACAATCCTTAAGGCACTTACAACCAGCTGCTTGTATGCTGTATCTCAAGTTCTGGAGTAAATAAGTCACGAAAACAGTTGATGAAACATTTTTTACATATCCTTTAATAAGCTAACAATTTCATTACAGAGAACATCAACATCGATGCACAGAGATTTAGCGACAAATCAATCTGATTGTTGGGTAGACTATCAAGTCAGGTATATATCTGTGCCCAGTTGACTGTGTGTAAAATACTCACATGTTGACCATCATTAGATTGAAAACACTACAATTTCCGCTAATATCTTTCGATTGACCAATATATGCTACTCAACATTTGATTAGGAACCAAAGGATAGAAACTTTTGCACGTGTATATAATAAATATGCTTCTTTTTCATTTGAACCGAAGCTGAAAATGTGTCGATCCGATGGCAATATTGAACACTTTTTGTATCAAGCAATTAGTCATTTTCAGTCCCACCACCTCCCTCAGAATAGAAAAATAGAGTAGTATATTTGTACAATACAAGTATTCATTATTCATCATAAAAGCTGAGTCATCAGTTTAAAAGTCAACAAGGATTGTTTAAAGAAAACTTAATAGTACAGACACACGCTTTAGGCTGGACGAAATACAGACGATAATAAATAAAATGAAACATGACACGGAATACAGTAAACTACGGTAATCACGAACTCAAAGGGGCCACTAATTTTTGTTTGTTATAACCGTAGTTCGAAATAAGCATATATATTCAACAAAAATACATCAAACGGCCGGGAGCAACAAATAAGATCGTCATATCCGTCAGGTGTTCGTTATGAACGCTTTTTTCTGAGTATGAAACGATAAATAATGCAGAGAACCTGAGCTCATATTCTATTCTGCTCAGCATGAGGTAGTGGGGACCGTATCTGACACGACATCTTCACGGGATCGAAATTTGATGATGCAAGTTACATATATTAGTTGACGAAAGTGACAGAGAACCCAATTCCTGTTTTCTATATTCTGTGTCCCTATGCCATGTACACAATCACACCTCATTGTGTCGAACTCCATTAGTCCGTAATATCTTTCAAGGCGATGTGTCCCCTTTGTCCCGAACTACTGATATCTCGCTGTATTTCTCGGAGTTAACAAAGCCTCACTGTGAAGATGCTAATACTCAGTCCATGATTACCAAACATGGGGCAGCATGTTGGAGATAGATGCAATCACTTTGGTTTAAAATCATTTGCCATATTTGCAGGACAAAAACAAATACAGAAAGTAAAGCAAAATCACTCTCTTTCCATGACAAGTAACACAATCGACGTCACCTAGTCATCATAATAATCATCATCATCACCATCATCATCATAATTGACATCTGCATCTGCATCAACATCATCATTGACAATAGCATAAACATCAACAGCACATCAACATCAATATCAACGTTAACATACCATATAAACAACAAGATCAACCTACCACAAGTACGAGATTAGCGACAACTCATGTAGTTTGTTGTTAGAAGATTAGCGACAAAGTAAACGTATACTGTTGTTCTGTAGTATATATATATACAGAAACAATGCAACACAGCTACAATCAACAATAAATTATACTGCCATCCATATGACATATTTGATAAAATCCCAGCACCACCACCCCACCCACCCACCCCCCCTCACCCCACACCACCCCACCTAAATATGAAATGGCAGATTCCTTACCATTCGTCGGTCGAGGATTAGCGACGACTATCACCGATGTCTAATAAAGGATTAAAAAACAGATTAAAGTGAATAATGCGACAAAGTTTGGGAATGATATTCGGTGTATATTAAGTGTGTATTGTTCATATGACTAGCGACTTTCCAAGAAGGATCATGTGTGATACGGGCACATTTTGGCCCACATGATCTGCATAATTTAAGGGATGGGTAAAACCTTTCGATATTGTTATAAAAACACATATGGCCATGTTTGCAAAGATTCTTGGTCATTTCACGCCATGCATGTTTTGTTTTTTACATAAAACATCAAATGTATTATTGTGGCTAAAAGGCTGCTTTCGATGTTTTCAGGACGCGTCTTTTATTGATATTTGATCATAACACTTTTGACTTTTTCAGGAGAGTTAAGTAAGTTTAGATCAAACTGTTTTTTTATATTTGTTTGCACTCATAATAGCCATACTTAAGCATTTTTCCATGTCAGAAAAAACACATGTAAAAAAGGAAACAACTATTGTCCAGCTATTCGAAAATGTCAGATAGTTTTCACACCACGTTCTCTGTTACTTCCTAATTTGACATAAATTGGCCATTATCCTTCCTCGTCCTTTAATGTGTTACTAGAAGATACCTGTATCGTATGTATATTGAATAGTCACGGTGTTTACAGTGTAATATAATAATTGTCAAGTCAATGATGTTTTCATTGATACTACACATTTTAGTTTAAAAATTGACACAAATGGTTGCAGATTAAGCCATACCAAAAGCAGCTTTGCAATTTGAACCAATCGTAATTTGAACGCAAGTACTGGCCAATCATTTCCTTTCCTTGAAGACGAATCTGATCGGTTCCTTGGGGCGGATGAAGATTTCATACAGAACATCAATCTCTTCATAGCCCGGTTCAAGTGATACTTCAAAGGTCTGTATTATCTGCAAAATAACGTGATACCATTACCTGTACTAAGCGAAAAAAACACATGTGAATTTGCAGCACATCATTTGTTGACACTAAAATAATTATACTTTTCGAGTGAATATGGATATGTGTTATATGTCTTCGCCTTTCTCAAAAGAATACTTGCTGGCAATTACTAACCGACTCCCAATTTAGTTTCCTTTTCTCACAACGGGCTGTTGATAAGTTTTAAAATACTCACAAGCTTCGTTTGTATTTCTTCAAATGTATCGCGCATGGATACAAATGTCTGAGTGATTCGACTGCTGACCGTGTTTATCTTTCAACTCACGATCTAGTAATTAGTGTGCAGTTTTCACAAAAGTAATAAGTAATGACAAACGCCCATAAAACTTTCAGTGAAACATAGTCGTAGCTAATATAATTATTGTCATAGGTATACAAAAGGAACAAAATATTTCTTTTAATTTCAATTTTGGACTTAGCCCAGCTGCCTCTCTCGACCAATATAACATCAATGAGGGTGTTGTTGTTTGTGTGGTTTGGATAATGGCTGTACCTATATGCCTGTTAGTGATTGGTACCGAGGTGAAGTTCGTCCCAAAAATTGACAGCATGATCTAGGTTAGACTAACATTTAGTCTATGAAATCTTATATTACACAATAGCCTTATTGACTCTAAAAATTAAAAATATATTTTCCCGAAGCTGATTTGTGGAATAGAACTAGCTAGAGCTGGCTAGACTTGCTTTTGTATACGTTTCTAGATTGTGATTTTTCCATAAAATAAATATATTCCATAGTCATGGTGCAAATCTAGATCTAGGTCTACAGTACTGACTTTAGTTAAATTTGGTGATATGTGTGAATATACACGTTTACACTGTAACGTTTATTCACTTAGATCGGGAAGTCTAGTGGTTAAGACGCTAACTCGTCACGCCAAAGACCCGGGTTCGATTCCCAACATGGGTACAATATGTGAAGCTCTTTTCTGGTGTCCCCAGCCGTGATATTGCTGGAATAATGCTAAAAGCGGCGTCACTCACCATATTCACTCACTCACTCACTTTAATAATCTGCGGCATGCAGGAATAAATAGTGACACTGTATGCCTTATTTTGCTGTGGCTGATATAACACCAAGACATGGTTTTGTTTCCTCATAACTGCAATACGGATACAATTACTGCTGCCATCGACAAAAAAAATAAACCTGAATAAAGCGTGTTATGTCCTACCTTCTTACCCTACACATCTATACATCTAGTCAGAGACATCTAGTCATATCTGTATCGTTAAGGAGATAACTCACCTTCGATACAGCAAGGTAGATTTCCTGTTCGGCGAACCTCTTCCCAACACACTGTCGCTGACCGAAGCCGAACGGAAGTAAGACGGATGGTGGGATTGGGGTCACTCTCTTGCCGCTAGCGTCTCGCAGCCACCGTTCAGGCAGATATACTTCCGGTTCCGGAAAATACTTCTTATTCTTGGCGGCTTTCTGGTTCATCATGATCACAGATGTCTGGAATTATTAGACACCATAATACGTCACAAAACATTATAAAATAGGTGCCATTCCACAAAATATCAAACATGCAAGGCGCCTCGATTCGCTGTGCAGAGTTGCGTCTTGGGCACGCCAGAAACCTATGATTGTTGGTACGAATCCTGGTTCACCCCAATTATGTTTCTAGGTTTGTCAGCGCACTACCCGTGCTCGTGGGTCTCACTGAAGTGGTAACCATCTGAGACCTGCATCACTTCGGGCTTTCTTCCCACATTAAGCTGACACGCCGCGAAATAACTGGAATACTGTTTAAAGCGGCGTTAAACCCAGCTCACTCACTCACTCGTTCGGCCACTGCGTTTATGTGCGTACCCTAGCTACATCTATGAGGAAAAACTTCCCTCTCAAATTCACCCAAATACTAACAAAAAGAAACCACAAGTACTTAATGTGAACCATTTATCTTTCCTCCACAACCAATCAACATGTTATCATGGTAAGCAATACACATGCACAATTTCATTGGATGTAACAAAAAGGGGGGAGGGGGTGATAGCCTACCCAGAACACAGCCTCCCCTAAATATGTTAAAGACACAATGAATGGGGGTAAATAATATCAGGTGAGTGAAATGAAACATTTTTTAGATTTGTTAAAGACACAATGAATGGGGGAAAATAATATCAGGTGAGTGTAATGAAACATTTTTTTAAATATGTTAAAGACACAATAAATCGGGGTAAATAATATCAGGTGAGTGAAATGAAACATTTTTTAAATATGTTAAAGACACAATGAATGGGGGTAAATAATATCAGGTGAGTGAAATGAAACATTTTTTTAAATATGTTAAAGACACAATGAATGGGGGTAAATAATATCAGGTGAGTGAAATGAACCATTTTTTAAATATGTTAAAGCCACAATGAATGGGGGTAAATAATATCAGGTGAGTGAAATGAACCATTTTTTAGTTGTGTTAAAGACACAATGAATGGGGGTAAATAATATCAGGTGAGTGAAATGAAACATTTTTAGATATGTTAAAGACACAATGAATGGGGGTAAATAATATCAGGTGAGTGAAATGAACCATATTTTAAATATGTTAAAGACACAATGAATGGGGGTAAATAATATCAGGTGAGTGAAATGAAACATTTTTTAAATTTGTTAAAGACACAATAAATAGGGGTAAATAATATCAGGTGAGTGTAATGAAACATTTTTTAGATATGTTAAAGACACAATGAATGGGGGTAAATAATATCAGGTGAGTGAAATGAAACATTTTTTAAATTTGTTTAAGACACAATGAATGGGGGTAAATAATATCAGGTGAGTGAAATGAACCATATTTTAAATATGTTAAAGACACAATAAATCGGGGTAAATAATATCAGGTGAGTGAAATGAAACATTTTTTAGTTGTGTTAAAGACACAATGAATGGGGGTAAATAATATCAGGTGAGTGAAATGAAACATTTTTTAGATATGTTAAAGACACAATGAATGGGGGTAAATAATATCAGGTGAGTGAAATGAAACATTTTTTAAATTTGTTAAAGACACAATAAATAGGGGTAAATAATATCAGGTGAGTGTAATGAAACATTTTTTAGATATGTTAAAGACACAATGAATGGGGGTAAATAATATCAGGTGAGTGAAATGAAACATTTTTTAAATTTGTTTAAGACACAATGAATGGGGGTAAATAATATCAGGTGAGTGAAATGAACCATATTTTAAATATGTTAAAGACACAATAAATCGGGGTAAATAATATCAGGTGAGTGAAATGAAACATTTTTTAGTTGTGTTAAAGACACAATGAATGGGGGTAAATAATATCAGGTGAGTGAAATGAAACATTTTTTAGATATGTTAAAGACACAATGAATGGGGGTAAATAATATCAGGTGAGTGAAATGAAACATTTTTTAAATATGTTAAAGACACACCTGTCACGGACAATGATTGTGCCCAGTGTTATGGTTATGTTGTCATGGTTACTGATATTGCTGTACTGCAAACAGCACGAGAATAGATACTTCTCAGTTACCAGATGCACCACCTTCTTTCCTAATTATTACTTTTTTTATGATATAGTCGGTAGTACTCTATGTAAGCGGTTATTCATGATTGAACGGTTTGTTGTAATAAATTGATCATACCCTTAAAGAGAAAATATCGTGATTCACCTTGTACGATTAATCTGACAATGACAGAATTGATGACCTGTATTTCTGATTGTATCAACCATTTAGCACGGTCAATATATGATTTGAAGCCAGGTAAGAAACTCAATTCGTTCATTTCGTCTACGGGAAGGTGATTGATTAAACGAAGTCACGAATGACTTGTGAGAAACTGAAGTATGTTATTACCATATTCCTGGAGTACAACTGTAAATTGTGAAACTTGTGAAATGAAGCAATTGTAATTTTTTTAAGGAGGGGTAGGGTTAAAGGTGGACAAGCATGACAGGGGACGCGGGTGAATAATCAATAGGGTATGGTTAACATCTTGTCATTGACGTCTTTTACAAAATAAGGTTGGCCGAACCCTCTGATGGTCGTGCAATTGTCTACAGGCGTCCACGAAAACGTTTTAGCGATCCGTGCGTTACTCAACGTCGTCAGTTCAGGGGATGGAAGTGTAATGGTATGTGCATGGTTGCATCACAACTTATAGGAGAACATCAGTTATCACTGTTAATGACAATTTAAATGGCATACGCAACCGGGACGACATCGTTCGAGATCATGTTTTAACCTTTGTGCAAAAGCAGGGATGTAACGTTACGTTGCAGCATGATAATGCCCGCCCACATGTTGCACGTATGCATCCTAACATTGCTGTACTACCATGGCCGGCTATTTATTCAGACCTCTCCTTATACATGTTTAGGATGAGATGGAAGGACGCCTACGACAGGACCAGAACCAGCCGGTAACGCTAGCTCAATCGGGCCAATCTTTGGTTGACATTTGGAACACATTCCCCAGGCTGTTTTCAATCATTGTCTTCAGTGCGCCGCCGCTGCCTCGCCTGTATCAACGCAAATGGCGGTCACATCAGATATTGACATTGTTAATTGAGTCGTTACATCACCCCTATTTGAGGGCATGTCGCTGTCTTCTGTTACCGGGTATGGATTTTGTCAATGAATGTGTTACAATATAACATTGATCAGACGAATGACCAAATATTATGAAGTTATTTTCAATAACATAACATTTACACCACTTTATATGAAGCATAGTTAATTTATTTATATATGTATCAAATTATGTGCATACATTAAGAATTATCAAATGTTGTCTTCATTCATACCTTCGATATATCAGGGCATCACTGCACAATTTGAAGACAGAATCAATTTAAAAGTATACAAATTTCGAACTGATAATACGGTTTAGACAGATACATATATCTTATGGCATTATAGAAATAACATGTTAAGGTGAAAATGTATTCATCTTCAACCCTACAACCCCCTCCCTTTATTAACGATTGCTATGAACAAATTACTTTGTTTCTTAACTGATAACGGGCGAGATACTTCTCTGGATCTATAAGCCCTTACATTCTTCATACAAATTGTATCTTGAACTGCTTTGTATTACACAGCTCCAATATTGACAATCCCTATCTTCTGCAACATTTTTACACATTGTAAGGAGGGCAAATCTATCTCCAACACCATGCGAAATACAGACAAAGCCGAGTTCATGTGAAGAAGACAGCGTACGTACAAGCAGATGCATACTTTTGGTGACAACAATAACCATGATGATGAGTGTGATGTTTCTGCGACTGCTGTTGATGTGATAGTTAATGGTGATGATGACAACGACAACGATGAGGAGGATGAGGACGACAATGGTGACAATGGAGATGAGATCTGTGATTTAAACAAAGTATATCTACCCCTGCTGGGATCCTGAATCCCTGAAGAATGATGTCTCTCGGCAAATACCGTTGGGTCCCCGTCAGGACAGGGTGGTACAACCTGCAACGTTCACATCTATATTTAGTGAGTATATGGAGGTACTGTTTAACATAACAGTCAGCAATAGTCCAGCTTCTTCACAGCGGCATTTTAAACACCAACTGGGAAGGTGACCATAGGGAGGTTCTGGCTTTTCTTTAAACTGGGGGAGTGTTTTTTTATTCTTTACATTCAGTGGTCACTGGTTAGGGTGGTTCAGAGGTTATAGTGAAGACAAGATATTTTTATGGATGAAAAGAAGTTGTCATCAAGTTTATTCTCACTGGTTCCTATATTTGTATCTTTCCTGTCGTTTCATTCAACAATATGTTTATCAGACGCGGTGACGTGTGATTCAACAGTGAGCAGGTTTACCAACGATTTTAACCTAAAATGACGTGTCTAATTTTTCTAAAATACCAAGTTGCACATTCTAATCACCGAGATGCAGACGAAGGATCATTACCCAGCGATCTTTGAGGAATCACGAATGATCTACCCCGAGTGAATTCGTGACGTCCTGATCATTTGAAGAAGTGCCGTAAATGTACATTCAATAACGAGGTTTTTTGCACAATGCGACGCCATGATCAACAGGCCATGATTTGGTCTCAGTGATAGTCTGTTACGATAAATATTACTCACTCACTGAACTAACCAATCTGCTTTCAGACTTCCTTAAACCACGTTCAGGAATTCTGTACCCTTGGAAGCATTATTGTTAATGTAAGTCTGCAAAGCCAGTGTGTCAAAACAAGATTCAAAACCATACACAACTGACGGCTACCTGAACGATTCCTTCACGCACGCGGGGAGATACTTCATGCTCTTGAGGGCAGAGACAGTGATGGGTCCGGAGGGGCCGAGCTCGTCATGCACCTCCTGGTACAACCTCTCCTGCTTGTCGGGATGGCGGGCCAGGACGTAGAGCAGCATCTGTATCATCCGGGCAGTCTTCCGAGAACAGATGAGAATAGTTGTAAAACAAATTTGATGTGTGCTGCAATTGGATTGGTTGAAATCGTTGTTAGATTTCTAGTTCCGGTACTTATGTGACTTTTCAAAATACACATACTTTTTGGTCGGGTTAACCTTGCGTTCAAGATGGGTAAGAACAAATACCATTTAACGTCTTTTGGTATGACGCGTCCGGGGATCGAATCCCTGAACTTCCTCTCTCCTGGCGGAGGCTCTACCACAAGACCACGGAGCCTGTATATCTTATTTGGAGTGAGAGTGTGTGTTACACTGTTATGTCAGTATTTCTGTTATATCACGGTGTGTCAAGTTGAAGCCACGATCAAACGTTTCTGGGCCCCGTTCCACAAAGCGATCTTAGCGCGAGGTCGGTCGTAACTCCCATTCTTTAACACTGACTTACGACAGTCGTAGCGCTAAGATCACTTTGTGGAACGGTTCCCTGGCGCGCCTCTTAAGGGACGGAACCCTGCACACCAAAATGTGGAACCTTTGGCGACTGGGCTATCGTGCCTCTCCTAAATGGAGAATAATGGCAGTCTCGGTAATGGGTTAATAATACAGAAACAATTTAACAATCAGATCTGAATTGAATGGTGTTATGATTAATCTAATGAAACATAATTTTGTACGATCAACTGTACTCGCGGATGCCTGAATCAACGTCGTGTATATAAGCAAGCCGGCAAAAGAAACAAATGTGCCAAACAGCACGAAAACAGTTGGGAACACATAGCTGGAATGCAACTTACCTATTCCCTTGGGAACAAGTGCACGTGCTTCACGTGATTTGCGAGAAAAGTTAATTCAATCAATAAACACTATATCATATGCACAAAGTTACCCGTATGAAATTCAGGTATAAAACATGAGCAGGATTGTACTCTCTCATCACATGAAACTGTTTAAAACAACGAACATGTCTCGACTAACCGCAGAGCAGAGGGAGAGAGCCATCGGTATGTTGCAAATGGGAGCGACGCAGGAGCACGTTGCCTGGATCATGGGCTGCTTCAAGTGCACCATCGCCAAACTTGTCACACGTCACAGGCAAACTGGCAGTACTGCAGACAGCCCGAGGAGTGGAAGACCCAAGGTCACGACCCCACAGGAAGAACGGTATTTACGGGTGCTTCACCTAAAGTCCAGATTCCTAACTGTGAAGTCATCATCCGCAAACAGCCTTGGACATCAAGTCAGTATAAGGACTCCGCCTGTGTGGTCTCCATGCCTATTGACCTTTCAAGGGCATGATGTTAACGTTTCTACACCGACGTCGCAAACTGAGATGGGCCAAGACTGTACAGCAGTGGCAGCAGAGAAATTGGCGAAGAGTGCTCTTCAGCGACGAGAGTAGGTGCCAAGAATTGATATGGCACTTCGCTTGGTTGACACTCATTTCTGTACCGTCCAGCAGTACAGAACCATCAACAACATCAACACCGACATTGAGATAATGTCCCTTGGCTCGTTTTAGAAAACTATGGAATGCCTTGTTTTCATCATGAGTCTTAACACGCTTCACAAGAGGATCATCAGACTAATAAATGTGTGCAAAAGTGCACAAAACAATTCTATTATTATTATTATTATTATTATTATTATTATTTTTTATTTTTTTTATATTATTAATCGACTTGGTAATCTGAACTTGATACATAAATGGAACAGAATCTCTATAAATGGTCCTCTTACCGAATCTGTTCCTCCGCTGAACAGGTCGAGGGCAATAGCTCCCATGTCATCTTCTGTCAGCTTGTTGGACATCAGCAGAGACAGCATCAAGTTGTTCTCCTGGGGGTCGAGTGTGCCGGCAGCTTGGCGCTGTCTGATGTCCTCTAGCGTGCCGTGATAATGGTCCTTGGCCAGACTAACGAAAGAAGCATGCATGTACGCGGAAAGTTAATCATTGCCCCTGTAAGTTAATATTCAGTTGTGTATTCGTCGGCTATAGACTTAGTTGTATAGATTTCTTTTCCGTGAGTTTCACCGGCACTTACTTAAACCGAGAACATACAGTTTAATCATTAATTTAAACAATTCAGCTAGAAAACACATCCTCCGAAATGTATCACCCTATTAATTAATATAGCTACATTTACGGTTGATTCGTTAGCCTATGCCTCTGCGCACATCCGATTCTCTTTCGTGTCGTGTCGTGGAGGGTGGAGGGAAAGCTGCTTGTACAAGTCCGGACTAATACCGACTTCTTAGTGCCAGCCTACTGAAATATCATGCCGCAGTGTAACATGAATATCCCACTCAGACACAGTGTTTCTTTACGCCCCTTAATGCAGAGCGCCAGACAGGGTAACTGCAAGTACAATCAAGTCTTTTGGTATGAGGCGGTCCGGCGAACGCTCTACCACTTGACCACGGAGGCGGTCGGTCAATAAAGCCAGAGACAACACTGAAGAAAGGTAACAAAAAGGTTCAACTATCGAGAAAGTTTTGCATCAGTGGTATTATTACAGGGTATAAGGGAGTTTACCGAACAAGTCTGTCCACCGCCGATTTGTAGTCATCCTTGACTTTAAGGGGAAAGTTTCTCAACACGAACGGGTGAATGTAGAGACATTCATTGAAGATGCGAAACATGTCTCGGATATCCTTCAGAGACTGCAGCTTGTCGGGGTACATGTCGACGTCACGTCTCAGATAGCCTAAACGCTTGTTGAAGGCAACGACGCTAATGCCTGTGGATGAATAACATTCACAGTTTAATGTGTTTGTTGGTTAACCACGCAGTCAGCAATATCCCTGAGTCCTGTAGATAAGTCGAGTCTAGGCCAGGCAAACTGCTGACAACGGGATGCCATTGTCAACAGACGACCTGTGAAAATCCGGGTAGAGAATTGGTCTTCAGGAACCCATGCTTTGTGTAAGAGGCGACTGACGGGATCGGGTGGTCATGCTCGCTGACTTTGCATAGATCGGTACTCATGATGTCAATCAATGGATTGTCTGGTCCAGACTCGATTACTTACAGACCGCAGCCATATAGCTGGTATTTTGCTGCATGCGGCGTTAAACAACAATCAATCAATTGATCATGTCCACATACAGCCATCATTATTCACCATGCACATCTAGCAAAACTTTATGAAATCAGATCTATAATTGTAGATTCTTACAACCATGGGTTTGGCTCTTTCCGACATGAGGAGATAATAAAAACAGACTTCAATTGTTAAGAAGCTTTTTCTTAAGTATCACCAACAATGGAAGCGATGGGGTAGCCTAATGTAATGTATATAGAATTAGATCGTCACGCCGAAGACTGTGAATCCCATTTCTTGTGATATGACCAGAATTTTGCCATCAGCGTCTTAGAGGGTTATCTCTCGACCCATCCTCGCCTATTTTGAAGGGATTTTCATCACAGAATCTGGTTCAAATGGATATTTCGGGCCGGTGGACTCCTCAACCGTGTAATTAGTAAAACGTCTGAACCTAAAACTTACTTTCACAAGCGTACTTAAAAAACATCTCTGACATTTCATGCGGAGTAAACCGGTCCTGCTTTATCCGCGTGACTAGGTCGTCTGCAACCTCGTTCTGGATTGACAAGAAGTGCTGGGCCGATCGGACGCGCATCATCTGCGCATTCAAAGGACTCCGGAAGTTGTGCCATTCCTTACCTTGTCTGTGAAACAGGAGTCAAATGCCTCAAAATAACAAAACTATTATGTTGTATAAAATACACGAAGAGGGTGAAATATTCACTTACACACTGTCAAACTCGGTGAGGTGAAACTGGGTAGAACGTCGCGTTCAAAATTATAGCATTTATAAAGCGACGTGCATGCACGTGTGTTCGGGGGCTTTTGTACTAGTCCGGACTGATACCGATTTTATAGTGCTTGCCCACTGAGAGTAAATCTCACATCGCAATGATGACTCATTCTCGGTACACACGTACTTGAATCAGCACTACGTCAACGTTACGTTACACATCATCCCAGACAAAGGGAGAATAAATTGAATCTACGTCCGGAATGAACAGATTCGAGTGTTTTCTCCGACTTAAACCATACTTGACATATAATTCTTTATAATTAGAATGTGTTTTTACTCATAAAAACTGAAGTCTCCCCCGCCTGTTTTTGATACCTTCGTTCACGTTGTTACTGTACATGTAAATGTGTTTGCAAATCCGAAAAAAACAATAATAGGAAAAGAATACGAGTACAGCTGTTTGATTGTAGATTGCATTGTGTAGTTGAGGCACCAATAATGAACAATCAGTAGCTTTATGCATAGTAGAAAGACTCTTAAGAATTTTAAAATTGTTTCCATGGAAACACAAGAAATTAAAAATTGTAATGTAATTCTCATTGCACAACAACTACCTAATGTTTTATTTCACACAACAACTATGCAATGCCTTACTTCACACAAGAACTATGTAATGCTTTGTTTTACGCAAGAACGATGTAATGCCTTACATCACAAACCAACTATGTAATGCTTTACTTTCTCTCAACAAGTATGTAATGTCTTACTTACAGCAACAAAAACCATGCCATACTTCACAACAAGTATCTATTTCCTTACTTCACAACAACTATCTAATGACTTACTGACCACAACGACTTTGTACTGCCTTACTGACCACAACGACTTTGTACTGCCTTACTTTACACCAACAGCTATGTAATGCTTTACTTCACACAACAAGTATGTATTTCCTTACTTCACAACAACTATCTAATGACTTACTGAACACAACAACTTTGTACTGCCTTACTTCACACCAACAGCTATGTAATGCTTTACTTCACACAACAAGTATGTAATGTCTTACTTCACACAACAAGTATGTAATGTCTTACTTCACACAACAAGTATGTAATGTCTTACTTCACACCAACAGCTATGTAATGCTTTACTTCACACAACAATTATGTAATGTCTTACTTCAAACAAGTATGTAATGTCTTACTTCACACAACAAGTATGTACTGCCTTACTTCACACAACAAGTATGTAATGTCTTACTTCACACAACAAGTATGTACTGCCTTACTTCACACAACAAGTATGTAATGTCTTACTTCACACAACAAGTATGTACCGCCTTACTTCACACTAACAGCTATGTAATGTCTTACTTCACACAACAAGTATGTAATGTCTTACTTCACACAACAAGTATGTAATGCCTTACTTCACACCAACAGCTATGTAATGCTTTACTTCACACAACAAGTATGTAATGCTTTACTTCACACAACAAGTATGTAATGCCTTACTTCACACCAACAGCTATGTAATGTCTTACTTCACACAACAAGTATGTAATGTCTTACTTCACACAACAAGTATGTAATGTCTTACTTCACACAACAAGTATGTAATGTCTTACGTCACACAACAAGTATGTAATGTCTTACTTCACACAACAAGTATGTAATGTCTTACTTCACACAACAAGTATGTAATGCCTTACTTCACACCAACAGCCATGTAATGCTTTACTTCACACAACAAGTATGTAATGCTTTACTTCACACAACAAGTATGTAATGTCTTACTTCACATAATAAGTATGTAATGTCTTACTTCACACAACAAGTATGTAATGTCTTACTTCACACAACAAGTATGTAATGTCTTACTTCACACAACAAGTATGTAATGTCTTACTTCACACAACAAGTATGTAATGTCGTACGCCAAAATAAATGTATAATAAAGTGTTTTACAATAACTGTTTAATGCCTTACTTCACACCAACAACTTTGTTCTGTCTTACTTCACACAACGATGCAATACTTTACTGCATAAAATAACAATGTATTGCCTTACTTCACACAAGAACAATGTTACAATGTTATGTCTTACTTTACACAACAACAATGTATTGCCTTACTTCACACAAGAACAATGTTACAATGTTATGTCTTACTTCACACAAAAACTATGTTATGCCTTACTTCACACAACAACAATGTATTGCCTTACTTCACACAAAAACTATGTATTGCCTTACTTCACACAAAAACTATGTTATGCCTTACTGTACAACAACTATGCAATGCCTTACTGTACAACAACTATGCAATGCCTTACTGTACAACAACTACGCAATGCCTTACTGTACAACAACTACGCAATGCCTTACTTCACACAACTACGCAATGCCTTACTGAACAACAACTATGTAATGCCTTACTTCACACAACTATACATTGCCTTACTGCACAACAACTACGCAATGCCTTACTGTACAACAACTATGTAATGCCTTGCTTCACACAACTATGTAATGCCTTACTTCACACAACTATGCAATGCCTAACTGTACAACAACTATGCAATGTCTTACTGTACAACAACTACGCAATGCCTTACTTCACACAACTATGTAATGCCTTACTTCACACAACTATGTAATGCCTAACGTCACACAACTATGCAATGCCTACCTGTACAACAACTACGCAATGCCTTACTTCACACAACTATGCAATGCCTTACTTCACACAACTATGCAATGCCTTACTTCACACAACTACGCAATGCCTTACTGAACAACAACTATGTAATGCCTTACTTCACACAACTACGCAATGCCTTACTGAACAACAACTATGTAATGCCTTTCTGTACAACAACTATGCAATGCCTTACTTCACACAACTACGCAATGCCTTACTGAACAACAACTACGCAATGCCTTACTGAACAACAACTATGCAATGCCTTACTGAACAACAACTATTTAATGCCTTACTTCACACAACTATGTAATGCCTTACTGCACAACAACAACGCAATGCCTTACTGTACAACAACTATGCAATGCCTTACTTCACACAACTATGTAATGCCTTACTTCACACAACTATGTAATGCCTAACTTCAAACAACTATGCAATGCCTTACTGTACAACAACTACGCAATGCCTTACTTCACACAACTATGCAATGCCTTACTTCACACAACTATGCAATGCCTTACTTCACACAACTACGCAATGTCATACTGAACAACAACTATGTAATGCCTTACTTCACACAACTACGCAATGCCTTACTGAACAACAACTAGGTAATGCCTTACCGTACAACAACTATGCAATGCCTTACTTCACACAACTATGTAATGCCTTACTGAACAACAACTATGTAATGCCTTACTTCACACAACTATGTAATGCCTTACTTCACACAACTATTTAATGCCTAACTTCACACAAAAACTATGCAATGCCTTACTGTACAACAACTATGCAATGCCTTACTTCACACAACTATGTAATGCCTTACTTCACACAACTATGCAATGCCTTACTTCACACAACTATGCAATGCCATACTGAACAACAACTATGTAATGCCTTACTGTACAACAACTATGCAATGCCTTACTGTACAACAACTATGCAATGCCTTACTGTACAACAACTATGCAATGTCTTACTGTACAACAACTATGCAATGCCTTACTTCACACAACTATGTAATGCCTTACTTCACACAACTATGTAATGCCTAACTTCAAACAACTATGCAATGCCTTACTGTACAACAACTACGCAATGCCTTACTTCACACAACTATGCAATGCCTTACTTCACACAACTATGCAATGCCTTACTTCACACAACTACGCAATGTCATACTGAACAACAACTATGTAATGCCTTACTTCACACAACTACGCAATGCCTTACTGAACAACAACTAGGTAATGCCTTACCGTACAACAACTATGCAATGCCTTACTTCACACAACTATGTAATGCCTTACTGAACAACAACTATGTAATGCCTTACTTCACACAACTATGTAATGCCTAACTTCACACAACTATGCAATGTCTTACTGTACAACAACTACGCAATGCCTTACTTCACACAACTATGCAATGCCTTACTTCACACAACTATGCAATGCCTTACTTCACACAACTACGCAATGCCTTACTGAACAACAACTATGTAATGCCTTACTTCACACAACTACGCAATGCCTTACTTCACACAACTATGCAATGCCTTACTTCACACAACTATGTAATGCCTTTCTTCACACAACTATGCAATGCCTTACTTCACACAACTATGCAATGCCATACTGAACAACAACTATGTAATGCCTTACTGTACAACAACTATGCAATGCCTTACTGTACAACAACTATGCAATGTCTTACTGTACAACAACTACGCAATGCCTTACTTCACACAACTATGTAATGCCTTACTTCACACAACTATGTAATGCCTAACTTCACACAACTATGCAATGTCTTACTGTACAACAACTACGCAATGCCTTACTTCACACAACTATGCAATGCCTTACTTCACACAACTATGCAATGCCTTACTTCACACAACTACGCAATGCCTTACTGAACAACAACTATGTAATGCCTTACTTCACACAACTACGCAATGCCTTACTGAACAACAACTATGTAATGCCTTACTGTACAACAACTATGCAATGCTTTACTTCACACAACTTCGCAATGCCTTACTGAACAACAACTATGTAATGCCTTACTTCACACAACTATGTAATGCCTTACTTCACACAACTATGTAATGCCTAACTTCACACAAAAACTATGCAATGCCTTACTGTACAACAACTATGCAATGCCTTACTTCACACAACTATGCAATGCCTTACTGAACAACAACTATGTAATGCCTTTCTTCACACAACTATGCAATGTCTTACTGTACAACAACTATGCAATGCCTTACTGTACAACAACTATGCAATGCCTTACTGTACAACAACTATGTAATGCCTTACTTCACACAACTATGCAATGCCTTACTGTACAACAACTATGCAATGTCTTACTTCACACAACTACGCAATGCCTTGCTTCACACAACTATGTAATGCCTTACTTCAAACAACTATGTTATGCCTAACTTCACACAACTATGCAATGCCTTACTGTACAACAACTACGCAATGCCTTACTTCACACAACTACGCAATGCCTTACTTCACACAACTATGTAATGCCTTACTTCACACAACTATGCAATGCCTTACCGTACAACAACTACGCAATGCCTTGCTTCACACAACTATGTAATGCCTTACTGAACAACAACTATGCAATGCCTTACTTCACACAACTACATGTTTTACTTCACAACATTTATGTAATGCCTAAAAATAACAATCAACTTACAGGAGAATGAGCCCTTTACTGAGTTCCGAATTTTCGCAGTACAGTTCATGAATCAGATGACCATCTCTCATAGGGTACCTTCCCTCGTTCTTCATCACAGCTTCAATATCGGCAGCGTCCTCAACAAGCACGCACCACTTGCCTAACTTGATCCGTACAAGCGACCCATGCTTATCAATCAGCTCATTGAACAGGTGATGGACTTTCTCTGTGGGGTGTTTGGCTGTTGAAAGAGTGAGCGACTGGATAAGTGGGGATTAAAGCTGCTTTCGGGAAGGAGGTGGAAGAAGGTGGAATGACACCAGAAATGGGTTCACATATAATATCACATACTGTATTCTTCTATCGTACCCTTACAGGGAATCGAACCTGCGGCACTGGGGTGACGAGCCTACGCTTTAACTACGGGGCTACCACTTGTACCCGGCCGTTGAACGGTCACGACTGAGTGAATACAATGAAAGTCGGACCATCAAAGGAAAGTATACACTCGAAAATGTGTATATGACCAAGATAATACAAACGTTATCAAGACGTTATTGGGTTGCCGAGGCACTGCAAACGTGAGGTCAAAAACACAACTAAGATACAACATGTATCAAATGCATCACCATCGAATATGTTTTTGTTCATTTTTAACCACCATCAAACATGTGTATTTTATTTTGCCCGGTAGTTTAGATTTGGGAATATTATAAATATGCTGAAAAAAAAACAATATTAAGGACGATTATTGATAAGTAGATTGATTACTCGATTGAGGAATCTTATCGACATTGAAATCAATAACTAGATTTAGGAATAGTATCTATAGAAAATCAGTAACGATGTTTAAGAAAACTGTTCATATAATAACCAATGACGAGGTTGAAGAATATTATTGACATATAAATCAAAAAATAGATGCAGGAATATTACTGATGGGTAAATCAAAATCTAGATTGAGAAATATCATTAACACGTCATTGGAATAAGTCAAATAATGAGTATAGGTACGCAGGTACGTAATAGGTGCGTAAATCAATAATTAGAGCTAGGGATGTTATATATATATGTACTCGTACATAAATCGATAAACACATTTTGGAATACTATAGATACTTGAATTAATGCATACATCTAGTAATATTAAAGACATATACATCAATACCTACAGTCGTGAATAGTGTCGACTTAAGAATAAATAACAATCACTACTTGACTCGTTGAAGTCAGATGAGTCGTATCATCGGATAAACAGTCCCTGAAAAAGTCCAAATCAGATTTGATTTCCGCTAGAATAAAAGGAAGTTGTTGAGGTTCACTGAGCTATGTAACTATACTTCACAGAATACATTTAAACGCCTAACGACAAACTCTTACGTTTGAAAGCTAAAATAATCTTTTGTTATCATTTTCTATTGCATCAACAAAGCAGAAAACACAAATAATAGTAATTATGTATCTATGGAACCTCAATGTTTATTGTAATTATAACACAAATTGAAATGTTTATGAAATTATATGAGGCTAGATCATGTCATACAATCAACAGTATCACGTCAAGCACCAGCGGGTTGGTTCCATGGTAAATATCTCTACGTGCGAGGTTTGTACTTCAAAGTAGCATACATATATAAAACTTGTGCAACACTTGTGATAAAAAAAGCCTTCTGGACGATATTCTCGGTCATGACATACATACTGTTCAGCCTACATGTACCGTGACGCACATCCGTGGTCGTCTTATCATACTGTCCATGCTATTTCCATCACTTTAAAGAAAGCTTTTAGTCTCAGTAGACATATCATATATCGTTTGAGACGAGATTCCTTCTAACTGTGAGGATAATAGCTCTGGCTACAACCTTGCCCCTTCGGGATATCTGATATATCTCATCATAAATGAACGTCATGTTATTTGGTGTTTAGGGGTTTTCTTGACTCTAGACATATTGACACAGATTTTATGGGAGCTGTGTAACAAGAGCACTATCAGATCAACAGCTATATCCATACACATGGTATACGTTATCTCATAGTAAAATTGTGAGATCAAAATTCTTAGATATGCATATGCAGGTACGTATTTGTAAGTATTGCTGAAATCAAGAAACAACAGTATCTTTTCATTGTCGAGTCATTGTGATACCATGCAGCACTCAGACACAGTACACTGACTCCTAGCCGACTAGTCTTTGTTTCAGCCCCTTAATGCCGAGTGCCAGACAGGGTAACAACAAGTACCATCTTTCAACGTCTTTTGGGGATCGAACCACCGACCTTCCACTCTCTGGACGGACGCTCTACTACTAGATCACGGAGGCGGTCTGAGTGCATAAGAACCACGAAAGATTAAATTTCCTATGATAGAATGCAATCTGATGAAAGGTCAAGAAGTTCGCATGTACTTGTTTGTTAAATGACATTCTCCGATAATCGCTTCAAATGAGAACTAAAATAGCTTCACAAAAGAAAAACTTGTTTTCATTTTTTTTTCTTTCATGAAATATGAAGTATGACATTAATAACAGGATAGGAGAAATACGTATCAAATATAAGGTGCTTACAAAGAAATGACAAGTCAGCATTCTGACTTGGATTGCATTGACGTCAACTGTTGAGCTATGCAGGTGCAAGTGCACTAGTGAAGACGCTAAAGGGCCCAATATTGAATCGTTGTTGTGTGAGGCGCGTTAATCCGTACCGTAAGAACCACTATAAGAAGCCTTCTTCACGTATCAATATTTGACAACTCATGACCTTTTTATTAAATATATGTCAGAATGCATGTCTCAGTCTTGAGTCATGTTTCAGGTGAAATCAAAGCACTACCGATGTACCGATAACCTGTAACTTTACCTGAGAGTACCGAGGTGAGGTGAAATGGGGTTTAAAGGTGCGTTCAAGGTTATTGCTCCGTGCTGACCAGTCCTTGGTTTAGCCCCTTAATGCCGAGAAACAACAAGTACCATATTTTAACGTCTTTTGGTATACCGCGGCCGGGGAACGGACCCCCGCCCTTCCTCTATCTGGGTGGACGCTCTACCACAAGACCACGGAGGCGGCCCCCATGCAACCAACTTACGTTAGGGACGGCAGGAGTTGGGTTGGGTTGTTTTAGGGTGAGGTGTGGAATTGGATGTAATTTCGTAATGTAGGCACCAACAACTCACTGCTTCAAGGATACCCAGTCTACATTTTTCGTGTATACCTAAGGCAGCCCGGGTACAAATAATCTTGCATCAGTGAATTTATATCTACCCTCACCATCTGGAGACCAAATACTATTTACATCTGGGTACTTTGGGGGTACTTTGAACTAGCTACTGATGTTTAATAGTTAAAGGTGTTGCGGTAGATGTACTTACAGAATGGTTGAAAGTGGAAGGCTGGCCCAATGATTGGTGTATTGTAGATGCCCCCGGGACCAGGGATTTCCTCGAAAGGTCGGACTCCCCTGATATCAAAGTCCTCAATAACTGACGTTGAGTGATAGCGTTGATTAAACAGTGCCCCACATCGGCTCACCACTGAATTTAACATCCTTCTCATCCTTGCGTTGGTATGGTTTCTGTGCAATAAAAATGCTTGTAAACAGTGGGGTTCCATTTCAATAACAAGATTTACACAATCGGATGTATATAACAATGTATATTCTGCACAACACAAAACGTCCTGACATGAGTGAGGATGTTACACAAAGGACATTATGTCCTAAAAGTTGTTCATAGTATCTCGACTTAATGCACGCTACAAGTAATATCTACCTAATTCCATGTTTTTCTCATAAAATCGGTAGACTTAACATGCGTGACGAGATATGATCGGGCGCTGTCGAGTGGAAAGCAGCATTTGACGTCATTCCGACGAGGTCACACAGAAAGGCAACGAAGCCCGTCAAGTCTTAAAGCGGGGCTATGCTGGGATAAATTGACAGTCCAGACAACATTGATTCAAGTCATTCTTAACCTACCTAAAATTTCCTGACCAACCATATTACCTTCAATGCCGCTCTACGCGTGTTGCAGCATCAGCATGGGTAGCTGTGTTTATATACCCAGCTAAATGAAAAGGAAATGTTTTATTATTGGAATAGATGTTACAATATCTACGTACCTTTTTCAAGTCCCTTCACATGGTCCCAGAATCTTACATACAATTAAACCTATTCTTCCGCTATAAAAGAATAAACCGAATCTGATAGCCGAAACGATTTTATCAAGTCGGCAGAAATTCTGTTTCAGCATTAAAGGCAAATCATTTAAAGCTTTCTTGGTTTTGCTTATTGCGTCTCATGCAGGAATGTTTTGTACAGTTTAATGACAATAAGTTTTCGTTCCTTTCCGATTAGGCAAGAATTCTAACTGTATTTGATTATATTCAATCATCCTACATTGGCCCATTTTCACAGAGAGTGATTGAGTTTGGATTAAAGTCTCTTTGGACAGTATTCCCTTCAGCTTAATGTGGGAGGAAATCCCGAAGAGATGCAGGTCTCAGACATTTACCATTTCGGTGAAACCCATCAGCACGGGTAGGGTGCTGACAAACCTAGAAACATAATCGGGGTTAACAGGGATTCGGACCCACTATCATAGGTTTCTGGCTTGCCCAAGGTACGCAACTCTGACAGCGAATTGCGGCGCCTTAGACAACTGTGCCACCCCGGTACCAGCACAGGAGTACTGAGCTCAAAGTCTGTGCTTTCGATTAAATAATGTGTTCTACTGACGTCGCCCTCCTGCTGGACCACGCAACCCCGTTAATTCGGACTATTCCGTTACCAGAATCGCCTTGATTAATAAATTTCATTCTCCCCTATTTAAAATAATCGATAGCAAGAGTTATCGTTGATATGCTTAGACCACCAGTCACTCTGACCGCCTTGATACATCGTCTAGTTTTCCAATTATTATGCATGAAACGTGTGCCGAAAAAAAGGGACAACTTACTATCGATCTATATCGATCCATGTATCAATAACATATAGCTGTTATGCTATGGCTATGAAAGAACCAGCCATCATGTCAGTAACAAGTACATGAAATAAATATATAGGTCACATTTCACTAATTTATCAATAAATTTCAGGAAGGCATATTTCACTATAATCACTTTCAGAGAAATCCTGTAACTGCTGTAAAACATAGTTGTGTACTTCATCGTATTCCATACAAAACATGTGTACAACATCCCGGACTGACGTAATGCGACTTGTCGGTGTTTGATTGTATCTTGGGACAATGCATTACGTCAGCAGCAAATACGTTAAAAACGCCACATTTCACATCATGATATTTATCACCAAATCGCTAGACAAGAAATATTCATACCAAACTTTTCAATCCAAACCTGGAAAATCGTTAAACCCAACCGCAACTACTTTCTTACCCATGTTATTGATATATACTTCAAACACCGCTGTGTCGAAGTTGAAGGGACCTACGTAAATACTTCCAGTTATCCGAGGTTCGACACAACTGAAAATAATTAATAAAGAAGTATATGCAAGGACCATGCTTTTAAGTTCGACACAACGGTGTTTGACTGTAAATACAAACTATACACTGCAACAAAATCCACAACACCTGATGACACATAAACTGAAGTCGAAACAGATGTTCGCTTCTTGGAAATTCGGAAAAAAAAACCGCATGGAAAAATGCCATGAACGTGGGAGGAAAGCTCGAAGTGCTGCAGGCCTCAGACATGCGCTACTTTAGTGAAACCCAGGAGTATGGTGCTGACAGACCTAGAAACATAATCGGGGCAAACCAGGATTCGAACTCATGATCATCGGTTTCTGGTGCGTCCAAGGGACGCAACACTACACAGCGACTGGACTACCACTGCCCCCTTCTCTTTCACGAGCGCAGGATCAAATGCAAACAGTTTTAACTAATGTACATGAAGTAAATCCTACCTTAGTATCTTAGTAGATGGTGTAACGCATCACAGTAAGCATAAGTCCTTTCATGATGCAAGTACCTGTGCACTAACGCTTCCCTTTCATACCATGAGCGTTACGATGGGAGGGTTCCCCCTAACTAATGGTTTAACGTCGTATCAAAGGTTAGGTGTCTATATCCCGGCATTAATGAACCCGTGACGCATTTCCCAAGCTGCCCATGATGAGGGAATCAGCGAACCTTACTTGGATGCACACTTAAGAAAGGCGTTTTCCGGACTGGGGAAAAATGGGTAATGTCCAAAGGCTATGAATTTGAAATTAAGCTTCATTCAACTTCAAAGGATGATATAACATAACATAATGTGCATCTGATTTTTTGTTATTAAGGCCAAGGGATAACAAGAAATAAGGTAATTTGACAAGATAATGTTCCGGACGAATTTGCCTCTTCTTTGTCGACCACCACCAGCGTATTTTGTCTGACGTAAATGGAGGGTAGAGTTACCGCATCGCCTCAAAATATTCCGAATACAATGCCTTACATGTACCGGCGACTCACTTGGTCTTAAATCACCTAGCTGGGGGAGGACCCCCGTTAAACATGTTGCTCGTAGTCGCAAGGCCTCAGCGTTAACCTACAACACAATTATTCATGCACATACAGACAGACAGACAGACATTTTGGGGGGGTCTCACCGCTGTTCATAATAAAACATGCGCAAAATGTGTGTACATTGATAACAGTACAGCGCCGCTCATATAAAGTCATGAGAGACCTATCCAAAAGTAAATTATATATACCGAAAAAAGTAGTTATCCAAATCACAAATGCTTTCTGTGTTGTATTCAAAATCGGGTTTTGGCAATGAAAATACCTCATATTTAGAAGCATCACATAAACTCTCGTTCCTAGACACGTTTACAAATTCAACTTTTTCGAAGTTAAAGTCGTAAATGGGGTGACTTGAAGATCGTTGAGTTATGAACATTGAAATAAAACATGTTCTTCGTCTTGATCACTGACAGTCATCACTTTGTCACCTGTGATCACTGACAGTCATCGCTTTGTCACCTGTGATCACTGACAATCGCCACCCCGTATCCCGCGATCTCCGTTAAATCAATAAGTAACCACACAAAATCAATAAACAATCAACAGATTACATATAAACACTATCCAACACTACTCAACACAATATTCTTAGTTCCTCAACCCGTTGAGACCCTGGTTAGACTAGGTCTTCAGCAATCCATGCTTGTCGTAAGAGGAAACTAACGGGATCGGCTTTTCACTTGCCTTTCAAAACCTGTACGATTGTTTCTTAACCAACACGTGGCTTGCCTGTTATATCCACGCAGCGCACAATTATCCCAATATGCTTTTACATTGTATGCATGTGGTTTTATGCATGTGCTGGGATAAATGAGAATTCTACCAGGATATTTTAGAACCCCGAACTCTGATTGGTGAGCCAGAGCTATTGAATTACGTTAGGCCGCATTTCCGCGAAAGAAAATATTTATTCAGAAGGACTACAGTATTTTATCCTACGAGCAAAAGTACATTTTAGGAGTTACGTCAATAAAGAGTAGTGGCTAGACCCTCAAACTGCCGACATACCCCTCCCCACAGTAGAACAAAGCAAATTTAGCATTTATGATTTTGTATTTTGTACTAGAAAATGGCGAGGAAGATAACTTATGGATGTCAGTTTCTTTATTATGAGGAACACAACGTTTCGGAGTATATGCTTACTCCTTCATCAGGTGAATAAATGCTACGCTGCTTGTGCCTCTGCCATTTGTCTCGTAGATGGGTATTGACGGTCTTGCCGCTTGAAAAGGTGACATGTATGTTGGCTTTGTTCTTGATGGGACGGGAAATCTGATGAGTGACAGGGCCTCGGTAGGGTATGGTGATTCTGGGACAGGTTTAGGTCTAGGAGTTCTTGAAGGTCTTGCGGGTGGTTTTGGAGACCAGGTGGGCAGGATAGCTGTTGGGGAAAGTGAAGGTTTCCTTGAGATGGTCCAGTTCACTGCTGAGGGCATCAGGGTGGCAAATTGATTTGGCCCGTCGGGTTAGGATGGCGATGACGGCTTGTTGTATCTGGGGATGGTGGCAGGAGTTGCCGTGGATGTACTGGTCTGTGTGTGGAGGCTTGCGGTGCACTGATGTTCTTAGTCCACCATCTGTGGTTAGGAGGCACACGTCTAGGAAAGGAAGGTGTTGATTGGTTTCGGTCTCCATTGTGAACCGGATTCTCTGGTGCTTGGAGCCGAGATGTTTTAGGAGCTCTGTGGGGTCGTTCTGGTGGGCTATGGTGGTGAGTGGTTCGTCTACTTCCCGGTACCAGCAGAGGGGTTTGAATGGTGCCGTCGAGAGGGCTTATTCTACGAAGAATGTCAGTAATGAGTGGAGAACCCATGGGCAGTCCTTGGATTTGTATGTAGATCTTTGTAGAGCTTGCTTATCACCTATCGGCGCAAATTAACTGTTGGCTTCCCTTGTTAACTTTCCACCTTTGCTATCTTATTACATTTGTTGTTCTTACAGGTACGACTGCTTTCTTTTCACGTCCTTCTTCGAATCCGAAGTCTTAAAATGACGATGTCAACCAACAACAACTCCACGGGGTTACCCCAGATATATCCAAACCATGTTTGTAATCAAACCTGTAAGAAGCGGCGCCATAATTTGAAAATCCTCAAACAGGGCTCCACCTAATTACCTGCACCCCAGCGTAGTGTTACCTGTAGAATTTCGTCTTCAGTTGCAGTGAACATCTCCAGCTACATGGAGGCTATTCATCTCACCGAGCGATATGGTTAGAATTGACATTATCACGAGCGGCGTATCTTAAAGTGAAACTAAGTATCCTAACCACGACACAACGTACACACAGTCTTGGTTTCAAAACAGTGCTCGGAATTAAACCAATTTCGGACCAAACGACTTCATTCGGGGTCCACGAAATAGGTTCGAAAGTAGTTCCAACTTTACAGAGCAGAATATATTATAGACAAAAAATGGAAAAATATTTCTGGAACCAAAGTGAAGACAAATATATTCCCAACCTGCTGGAAAGGTATGTAGTGTACAAGAAAATGAAACAAATTACACTTAACGGCAGTGGTTAGCGCACAGCCACACTTGTAATGATATTAGAACAGCCATCATTTTCAAACAGCCACTCCTGAACATGAAGCGAGCGTAATCAACAGCGACGGAACTAAACAGGCGATAAAATGGATAGAATGTATTTAGGAGCACACACACGGGTTGGCTAACTGCTAATCAAGTGTCGCGTTTCAGCACCGTCAAGAGATCCATTCGAGCAATGATGCGGCTGTTTCGATTCGGCGATGCTGACCTCACGATCGACAAGTGGCCTTGAAATTTCACCAGTGGCTATTACATCGTATCACCACTCATTTAAGTGACGATATCACTTACCGTCATACATACACAAGCGAAATCAGTCGGGTTTTAGGTGTGATTCATCTGCTATTCCATTGTCTCTTTATACAAAACTGATTTAGAGAAAATCAGAATTGCTGTCCAAATGGTGTTAATGCTTTCCGTGAGTTGGGGTACCTTAGTTTCTTCGCTGAGCATTACGCCTTTCCCTTCAGAACGTGAATACAGTTTATACATAAGATTATAGGGAATCTGGCTCTCTGTTTCCCTGTGACAGAATGCAAAGACAGCTAATTAAATTGAAGTTAACAATCGCTACTGGAGGAAAGAATAATTATTATGAAGTCTAAATGCGTATTGGCCTGATGTTATTATGCATGCGCTCAGACTAAGACTGAAACGTAAGCGTTTTGGCTCTGATGGCTCTGATTTACCAAAATGCCATTTCAATATCACGCGGTACATTGTGGTGTACAGTCTGGGCCATATTCTGTAAAGGCAGAGAAAGAATAGTTCCATTCAATTAACTGTGACAAGATAACCATCCAATAATGATGAAAACAACGAAATTTAGAGCTCAACAAATAAATGTGACAAAACCCGTTCATTATTTATAAGAAATCTTTGCTGAAGGCAGAGTCGACTGTATCATTCCGACTATATCATGAGCATGTGTTTTTGAATCACTATTAAAAAGTGATGACACCAGGTATTCGCTATAATGTGAGCGTGTCCTGTCCCACAGCTGGCACCCATCACAGACACATGCAAAGGCAAGTCAATTGTTCACCCGAAAAGACACGGGAACATATGTTACCAATCAAAATAGGGAACTGCATCAGCCAATAGGGAACTGCATCAGCCAATATGGAGCTGCATCGACCAACTACGACCAATTGACGCGTAAATATTTCATTAACATTTCAGATTTATAGTCATTATTCAAGAAGGGGGAAATGTAGATCTTAACTTGGAATACTTGTTACACTTAATAAAAATGTTTTGAAAACGGAAAGCTATGTCAGTGTTGACACGAGGTCTTATGCCCTCACCAGAATGGAATCCGGGGATTTGCGCCTCCATTGTCCTGGGTACATGACGACTTCGACTCCAGTGGTTAAGCATTATTCTCGCTCACGTTTTTTTATGATGGAGGCGCACCATTGTTCTGTCACAATCTCATACCCAGTCGACTAAGGCGCCGCGATTCGCAGTGGCCAAGAGAGTGGGGGAGAAGGCGGGGGTGAGATTGGTTTTGATGTTTTAATAAATGAGCAGTCCCTTAATAATGTACAGATTCATAATATTTTTATTTGAATAATATACAACTGTGTCATTTTTTCATGCTCCTCCTTCTTATAGTTCTGATAAATCGCCCCCTCCAGGGAAACTCTCACTCCTGTATATGGGCGGGATAGAGGGCATTGGGAAGAAATTAATAATTATGACAGTGTATATAGTGGTTAATTGATCAGTTGCGCTCATAATATAGTATTTTTCTGCTCTTAAACCCACAATAACTACACTGCACTAATGGATTAAACAGAAAACAATGACAGCAGAGATAGCCTTTAATTATACCATTCACGATTATAACTCTCCCAGTCACGATTGATCTGGATGTAAAAGGTCGAACTCATTAAACTCTATGTGGTTCGACTATTTAGCATAATATCATATCGTCTATGCAGGAGTTATTTAAAAAGAGCTTAGATATAATTCGAAATTTTGAAACAGATCCTTA